ATGAACAAAGATGACCTACTCCAATCTCTTTGTTCTACAGCTGAGAAGAGTGGGACTTAACATGAAGGTAAAGTACATTGTCCAAGGTCAAGAGCTAGCCAGTGGCAGAGCTGTGGTTCTTGACTATTAGTCCAATGTCCCTCCTACAGAGACAAAACATGGGATATTGTCTAGCATACTAGACTTGGATTCAAAACCCTCCTGCAATACTTTCTGGCTGATTCCATGGATACTTCATTTGAACTAACTCAATTTCCTTACCCGTAAAAATAGAGGTAATAATAGCTAACATTTATATGGTGGTCACTATGTGCTAGGCACTGTGCTAAGTGCTTTACAAAACTGCTTTCTGTCAGCGAACTTTGTAGAGGCCACAATGTGTTACTGCTACAGTATTGCTAGAACCAGTAGCAATTGAGCAAATTGAACGGACACCACAAATAAAATGGCCCGTTTAGTGAGAAAAGCCACCTTCACCCCACATCAATCAATGAAGCAGGACTGTTAGAGTTTTACATGACACGCAAACCACACCTGGAAGGAAAGACTATTAGGGATCTTACCTATTCTGTCACACCTTCCCACTAATCATCACTCTATTTACAATGTTATACATGAAAACCACACACTGTGTCTCTGATGCCACCAACATTGTTGCTAATTGCTCCATTATAGGGATGATTGAGGGGTTATCGTGTCCAAGTGTGAAAGGCCTTTCAGTCTGTAACTCATTCTGTTATGTAGAATGGATGGCAATTCAGCTCAAGTCAAAACTAGAAATTCTGGTAGCTGAGGGTAATTCAGCTGGTTGGGGGATGACACAGAGGACAATCCATTTTCTAAAGTGTGTTTGTATCAGGGGAGGGGGCACCCTGTGGAAAGGCTGGTGACCACCAACCTCAGGAAGGAAGTAGAAAGGGGAGATAAGGTAGACAAGAGGCCTGGCAATAAGGGAAGGTGATGATAGGAAAGGAATGAGAACCTCTGGGTGGTGGGAGCCTAACAGAATAGAGCATCAACCACAAAGTACTGAATCCACAGCGAGGACTGCTACCAGGTGTTAGCACCCTAGGTATAAAGCCCCAGTGACACTACCCTTAATTATAGCTCTATGGCCAATGTTTAATATGGCCATGTTAATAGTCATAAGGGACCACTGTAAGAATGAATCTATTTCACTGATTACTACTGAGAGATAAAAGGAACAGATTTCTCCTTTTGTAGATTTCTTGTCCCAAGTATGTCTCAGACTCACAATTATCTCAACAATGTGGTTCAAAGTAGTTATCTCTGATTATTAATGCAGACCAGGCTACTTATGTTGTTTTATAGAAGCACAGAAACCAAGCTCTATCACTTTATGCTGCTCTTCCTATTGTCTCCAAATATTTCTTCTGTCTACTGAGTCTTTGGCTGCCCTCATTTCAGCTCACTAGAGAGGACCATGTACTAATTCTCAGTGGAAATTCAATTGAGACTTTGCAAGGTTTCATATATCATAATTTTTTAAAAACTCATTTTATTTTTAGAAGAGAAACATATTAATAAATTAATATCAGGGATTTATTCAAATAGTAACTTTGAAGGCATTCCCTGGAGTCAGTAAACATAATCCCAATTTGTACATCTCCAGTCCATTCTAATGTACTTAGAGGTGCAGAATAGCCACACTGAAGCATTGTAAGAATTTGGGGGGACAGTTAGGTGGTGCAGTGGATAGAGCACTGGCCCTTGAGTCAGAAGGACCTGAGTTCAAATCCAATCTTAGATACATAACACTTATTGTATGACTCTGGGCAAGTCACTTAACCCCAAATGCCTTGTGAATAAAAAAAATTTAGTAATCAAAAGTAATTAAATTTTGTTCATTATATTACACTAAGACAAGAAAGTAGACTATTATATTTTAGACAAAACTTAAAGAGGGGTTAAACAACATAAGAAGTTGGGATTGACCCTTAGAGAACTCAGTAAGAGCACTACAATAGCTTGTCACTAAAAATTTCCCTGTAAAATATTTTTAAGGTAGCATTTACTATCTTCTTTCCTTAAAAAAAAAAAAAATGGGTCCAAATTTGCTTTCAGCTTTTCTGTTTAGTTTAGGAATTTACCCCCTTTCTGTTCTTTCTTTTTCTCAGCTTTCCCACATGCTTTCCCAGTCTTCTCCCTTTTTTCTCTTTTGGCCTCTTTTTTCCTATAATTGTGGAGTCGTTTCTTCTTCCCAAAAGCATCACCTTCTCTCTTTCCCATTTCAAAATATAAGAATTAATACTGATCTAGATAGTTCTTCCTAATTCCAGATTGCTTTTTAATACCAAAATATGATTGGTTAGTACTTTACATATTTAGTAATAAAAACTCTACATCTTATCTGTGATTACCCATTTTCTCTAAAATGACCTCCATGTATGAACACGGATATTTCAAAAGACCAAGATTAATGTCTGAGCCTTACTGGTATTCAGACTGCCTCCAATTACTAAAATCTCTATCTACTTTTGACTTTTCACTGAGGGAGCTCTTAATGTTGCCTTTAAAAGGCTTGAAGAATGGTTGCATTTCTGATCAAGGCCTCAAACACCATTCCAAAAATTCTGCCCCCTTCTGCACATAGCCTTACAGCTCTGCTGAATATTCAAACGTGTGTTTCAGTTTCTTTGTACTTTGTATGCCTGAGAATCTCAGTTCATACAGATTTCTTAAAGGTAAACAATGTAAAAAGCCTCAGTCCAAAATTTCCCAAATGTCTCAAAAAAAAAAAAAAAACAAACCAACCCAACACCACAAATGTAAACTAAATAGTACACTTTCCTCTTTGTATATTACCTTCTATGACCCCAATTTGAAAAGGTATATGGAGGATTTTTTTTTCTTTACACAATGGGGTCTGTCACAGTCAACATTACTAGGTAATAATCTCTGAAAGTTAATATAAGTATTCACATTTTAATATTTACAGTTTATCAATAACACACTTTAAGATTTCATAATATTTTCCTCACCAAAATAAGCCTGTGAGGTAGTTGGTACTAATATTATTATTATTCTCATTTTACAGGACAGGAAACTGAGGCTCAGCAAGATTAAAGTGACTTGCCTGTGGTCATACATCTAATAAGGAACTGTGATTTTAGCCCAAATCACCTGATTTCAGGCCTACTACTCTCCACTACTTCCTGCTCCCTAGAGGTTAAAACTTCAAGGTAGGTTGTTCGTGACAAATTCTAGCAATACTTATTTATCTATATCTTTTAGAGAGTTGTTATTTACTTTTCCTGTTGTTTGGGGAGAGAAAAGGTTAGTTCTCTGCCTCACAAGACTTTTACCTTTTGATATTGATATATTTTCTCAGTTGTTATAAAGAAGGTCCATTGCTACCAATGGAATTAAATTCATGCCCATGGAATGTTTGAAAGACAATGGGGTTTTTTCCCTGTGTTTTAAGAGCAGTTTGAGGCAAGGGAATAAGAGAAATGGTTCTGTACCACTCCCTTACTATTCCCCAGATCTTTTCTCTGAAAATTAAAATAAAACCTACAAGTCTTTTCTCTGATGTGATTAAACAATTCCCGTACCTTACCGATAGCAGATTCTGGCAATAATTATCTCTGCTCTGGGGGAAAGATTATGTAATCAGATTGCATCTGCATGGTTATTATTAGGCCTTTGAAATTTCCAAAACCCTGGACTCTTGGTATGCATAAATAACTAAATCTAATGAATACTCTAGAGTGTTAGGCCTGTTGACCTTCTAAAAATAATATCGTGGTTTGGTCACTCCACAAAGGATAACGAAAAGAAGAAAAGATTTCAATAGAAAAACTTTTGGCATATTCACCTCTTCACCTACTCTTACCAAATCTTCATATACAGAACTCAGTTCTGAAGTGAACTACTGGTATGGACACTCAAAGTTACCCAGTCAAGGAGGAATTGGGCTTCCAGTTGCACTGGCTGCCAGGGTTCACACCATTTTTCAAGTAATATCACCTTATATATTCCTCTTTGCTCTCAGCAAAAAAAAAAAAAAAAAAGGGAGTAGGGGTGAATTTTGCAGTTACACAGCTGAATATTAACATCCAAAAGCCACTTCTTGGCAAGAATATATTGGGGGCAGCTAGATGGCTCAGTCACCAACCCTGGATTCAGGAAGACCTGAGTTCAAATCTGGCCTCAGACACTTGACACTTACTATCTGTGTGATTCTAGGCAAGTCACTTCACCCCATTGTCTTACAAAAAAAAAAAAAGTATAATTCAGTAGTAATAAAGTTAATGATTTTCAATCCAATGTAAATTAGTGAACTTGATGTCATTCAAGATTTTTTCCCAGAGGCACAAGTACAATACATTTTATGTATATATATATATATATATATATACACACACACACACATACATACATACATACACATACACACATATATACTTATATATGCATGTATAGCATATATACATAGATGTATGTATACATATATATGGCTGCAATAAAGCTAATTTCATTGCAGTTAATTTTTGCTTATCCCTGTTATTATGAGGAGGGATGAAATAAAAGCAACAAATAACCCAAAATTTAGCTCACTGCTACACTCCCACACAGCCCCTTAGATCAGTTGTTTTCAAGCACAACTGACTGATCTGAGTTTCTCCAAAAATAATGCAAAATAGAAAGGGAAAAGAAGTAAGAAGCATAACCTGGAGAGAAAAATCAACATCCTCATTATCATCTTCATTCACATCAAAAGTCATCTGTGGTTGGGAATGAAAAAATAGTTTGAAAACTTATTCAATGTATACTGGGTGACATCTGTCATTCCAAAATAACTCCCTGAAAACAGCACCAATGCAGAGTGAAAAGAATGGGAAGCATCACCCTCAAACTAAGTCAAGTAGTCTGAAATTTTGTGGTAGTGAGGGGGAAAGGTGGCTTCTTAAAAGGAAACACATTTTGGTCATTGATTTTGAAGTTGGATACCGTTAAAGACCACAAGAATGCCTTACCTAGGTACAATGATGCATTTTCTTTCTTGACATTGTCATCTAAGTAGGTTGGTCCCAAGGTATAAATAGGAGTGGAGCCCATACCAATGAGAACCTGTGCACCAATGAATAAAGCTACATAGAGCGAGTGATCATTACCGCCAGAGTCCTTCCAACAGAGAGATGACTCCAAAAGGTCCCTGGCACTGCTGTTGCCATTCAGACACAAACCCTCTTTGGAAACTGAAGAGTTCAGCTCTTGAATCTGGTACGGTGGAGAGATGAAATGAGGTAAAGAAAACAGGGCAGCCCCCAGTGCAATGAAGAGTCCACCCACTGCCAGCCACAGAGGCCGCCTGCCCCGGCCTCCAAAGTAACTGATGAAAACAACCACAACCAGGCTCCCAATGTCAAAACAGCTGACCAGCAGCCCAGATTCCGAGCTTTTCAAGCTATAGCGCCTCTCGATGGTGGTGATGACACTGCTGAGGTATCCTGAGACCATCAATGACTGGATAAAGGTCAGAAAGCACATGCAAACCAAAAAGCAACGGGAATCCGTCAAAACCACGTGGAGGCATCTTCTGCCTTGTAGGGTTGCCAGGGTGGAGGAAACCGACAGGCCTTGGGTGGAGGAAACGGACAGGCTTTTGCCGATGGCGACCACGTGGTTGCAGTCTAAGGTCCCAACCATCCCTGAAGAAATGGAAGGAGTGCAGGAAAACACAGTCCGGGAAGAGGCTGAGCAGCTGGGCCCCAGCTGAACCTGAACCGGGTCTATGCATCGCCTCACCTCAGTGCCCCCTGAGAAACCATAAAAACCCGATTTGGGCCTCCTAAAGGAGCTAAACCTTTTATCTGCCCTCCGGGGGCTGGGGTCCCGCCCGCCAGCGGAGTTCAGAATTGGCAAACTTTTGGACCTACGGGTCTCATGCTTGCCCTCTTCCAAGGCAGCGGAGGCTGCTGTTCCCTCCTTCGGCTCTCCCACCTGAAGCTTCATTATGCCCTTGCCTTCGCACTCGGGCGCAGCCATGGCGAGTCTAATTCAGATCAAGTTAGTGACTGACCCCACACAAGCACCCTGCTGAAGCTCTTCAGCCACCCTGCACAGGGCGCCAAAGCCGGGCCCATGCGGGAGCGCCGTGGGACCGGGACTGGGGACCCTGAGCAGCGGGGCAGGTCATAGTAACTAGCAGACAGAAGCCAAATGCATCCCGGGCTCAGACAGAGCCCCGCAGGCTCCGGGCCGCATGACCCCAGATGTCCTCCAATGAGCCCTGACTGAATACCACGTCTTGTCAGCAGCTCGCAGGGGGCGCCTTGCCTGCGCCGGGTGCATCCCCTCCCTCTCTCACTCTCAAAAGGCAACCAGCGTGACCCCTCCGGCCCCCAGCGCTGGTTACGCAGAGGCGCAAAGTGCTAGGACAGTGCTGGGGCACTGGACGGACTGGTGGCCAGGCTGCGGGCGAACAGGGCTCTCTCGGCTAGTCGGCATCCCTTGGCCGCCTTCCTTGCCTGCGAAGCTGTGGAAGGGGAGCTCTGTCCTCGCTGCCTCGCTCCTAAAACCCCCGAGGGGAAAAACTTCCAACCTGAAAGGCACAGAGAGAAAAAGAGAAATGAAAGGTCAGAGAGGCCAGAAGCTTTTGTCCAGCTTCCCGAGGTGGGGAGCGCAGGGGATCTGCTGGACCACCCAGAGAACAGAGAGGGGATAGGACGATGCTATGGGACAAGAACCTGCCGGAGGAGGGGGAGGGAGGGGGCCGTCAGGCTCAGTCTTTAGACTCCGGAACAATAAGAGCCAGGCGGCAGAGATCCTCTCTCATTGTCTACGGGGCGGACGTCCCCAGCCCTGCCCCGCCCCCTTGGCAATGGGCAGCACATCTGTTTTAACATGTTAATAATTATTAATCTGTCGCTATGACTCAGAAGCAGCTTCCTTTTTATTTGGGGGAACTAATTGTAACCTTTCCTACTCCTACTGCAGTTCCCAAAATAGAAAATATCCATAAGAACAAAGGAAAGTTAACACACAGAGAGGACTCGTTCTCGCACTTCTCTTAAAAAAAAAATCTTTACGAGTGTGTAAGAATGTACATATACTTGTGCAAACCCACGTGTGCACTACTCAATATATGTCTGTTTAATTCATCAATTAAGAGACCCTTTTATTTAAAGCCAAAAGCCACAGCAAAAGGTCAGCATGCCTGCGCCTTTATTTCCAAAACTAAAAATAAACCCCACGGAAAGAAATATTCAATTACAAATATCAAGGGCATTCAAGGCTGCATCCCACACTGAGCCTGTCTCTGGGGGCAAGGTCCCACTAGAAACTGAACATCTTAAAAGCAGGAATTCTCAATGCTGAAGAAAGGGAGGGTAATGTCAAGAAACAAAGAAATAGCGGTAGAGTAAGCCTGTGGTAGACTGAACGATTCTCTGTCTACCTAGAGCAGTTCCGGACATCAATCTGCGACATACACATAACTATGTAAGATGAGCGCTGGCACAGTAAGTACGGAAGAAGCTTCATAATTACACAAAGTGAACGTACAGTGTACGCCGGTGGCGTGTGCATGCGTGTACACACACACACACACACACAACATACATAGATGGATGAACTGCTCTAAAACAAATAACGTACACATTACTAGCTTGGAATCACCAGGATTGTAAAGAGTGGAGTTGCTGTCTTTGTAAATCCCCACAACCAGCTCCCAAGCCGCACGTTAGTCCTCAGGTCACAGAAATACGTGCAGCCAAAGGAAGAGCACGGGGGTAGGGGTAGGAGTGGGGGATGGGATTAGGGAAGGGAGAGCTTTGCTCTGCTCCAGTCTAATCTCGATGTGGATGTCCGAGCTCTGCCTTTGTGCTGCTGGATTTTAAATAAATAAATAACCCTGTGAGGAGGCGGCTGGGACATAGAAACTCCTAGATCCGTCTGGCGGCAGCCACTTTGCCCCTCAACCAGACGCTAGCTCACTTCCTCTAGCATGGTTGCAGCTTAGGGGTCCTACAGCCTCACAAAGCTGGGTTTCCCCCACCCGTGCTCCTGCAGGAGCTGCGCTCCCGGGGAATCCCACTGGCTACAGAAGCACAGATCCGGGGAATCCCAGCAAACTCCTATCCAGGGCAGGGTGAATGTCATCCACAAGAATGACACAGGCAGGATCGTTAACACAGGCTTGAGAGAGCTACAATCACCGGACAGGGGAGCCCAGGGAGGCCCTATGAGACAGGATGCTAGTGAGCAGGTGTGTTATTCGATTGAGCAGCTCAGGGAGAGAAAGAACAGCAAAAAGAGAGAAAGGTAACGCTGCTAAGGAACACAATCAACAGCTACTCACTTGTGTGTCTGTCTGCCTTAGAGTGGGGCACCGGGATGGGGAAGGGAAAGGTGGAGGCGGAGGAGATGCGTGCTGTTTAGGGAGGTTGCCTCTTGCTTCAGTCCTGGCGCTGATAAATCAGTGAACGAGACTATGCATGACTCCAGCTGAACTCTTCCTCCACCTCCTGTCACCTAACACTCCTTCCCTCTAAACACATACACACAAAAAAGACAAACAGAGAGAGAGCAGCAGCAGCAGAGGGCGCAGGCGCACACCGGAACCTTATCTGAACTCTTAGAATAGCTAGCAGAATGACTAGTAGAACGAATTCCTCCTGGTCTGAAGCATGTGGCGACCATGAGAAAAGGAACGTCTCGTCGTGAGAAGAGGAACACCCCCCCCCCCCCCATAATTCCCCTTCATCTACCAAGGAGGGAAAAAACATATGTTTAAAAATTTTTCTCACAATAATAAACTTTGGAAGTGTGAGTATTCTTATCCCCATTTTACAGATGAGGTGTGAATGACTAATAGCATCATACATCAAGGGATGGAAGGGGCTTCAGAAGTCAGCTAGTCCAAATCCTCAATCTTCCAGATGAAAGTGAGGTGTAAGATCATACAGGGAGTGTCAGAATTTGAAGCCAGGTAAGATTTAATTCCCAGATCCCACTCCAAATTCAATGCTCTTTCCACTTAACCATGATGTATTTCTGCTGCATGGTATGTACCCATATTTGCAATCAGAGGAGAGAGAAAAGCTAAGGGAAACAAAATGGAAGAGAACACAGGAAGAAAGAGTAATTGATAGATTATTATCATTTCTCGTATATGGAAGGTCTTTTTAAAAGTTTAATTATATTTTTTTAGAAGTCTCATTAGAATAGCCCTGGTGGAGACATTGAGGAAAATCTGCCACAATTTAAAATGAATGTTAAAGATAATTTTCATCCACAGTAATATATAGATATAAATATACCTATTCCTATTCACTTACACATTCCTGACTTTGTTTAGAATTTGGAACTTTACAGAGTTAACTGTCTTTTTTAGATTTTTTTTAAATGTAGTAAAAATTGAGTATGAAATTGTACTGACCAGAGAGATTCAGACTTGGAAAGGTGCTATTAAAGGCAAATAAATCATCTACTGAGTTTACATTTAGTTGAATAAAAACACATCGAATACTTCAACTATATTTCATTTGCAATATTTGTGTATGAAAATAAACCAAATTAACAAATTGTTCTCAATTTTATACCATCAATAATTCTACAGGTGAACAGCTTCCAAGTCCTTCCTTCCATTTAGGAATAGACACTTTTGTGTATTTCACAGGCTCATAGATTTAGAACAGACAGGGGCCTTAGAAGCCACTGAGCCTAACCCCTTCATTTTACAGATAAGGAAACTGAGGCCCAGAGAAGTTAAATGCCTTGTTCATTATAACACAGCTAAAAAACCTGCAAACAGGATTTGCATTCATGTCTTCTTGATTCCAAGTTCAGTGTCTATCTACTGCATCTCAATTTTCTAGTTCTGACCTTCTCAAAGTAATCAATGTATCTCTACACTATCATGTCACCTGCAGGTGGGCATAACAGAAAAGTTCTCCATAGCAATCAACAAGGGAAAAAAAGGAAAAGATGCTAAACCTGAAGCAAGACTTTGATCTCAAGGCCTTGAAAAATCTGTTTTCCAACAGCTATTTGCAAACCCCCCAGTATTTGTCTAGCCCTTGAAGTTCCCATTCATCAATTGCATAATTATAATCATTTTCCAATGGCTTTTCTTCCCAGCAATCAGTGTTTTTCTATCTTTACTAAGAAGATATTTGTCCATAACAGTTTTTAGAAAAGAAACCTGCTTCCACTAGTTTCTATTGGTTCTAGGCAAAAAAAAAAAAGAAAAAAAAATCAAGTCAACTCTCCTCCAATAATACCCTGGAATAGAAGCAGATAAGATAAACAGTAAAATGAGGGCATTACACTCAGGAGAGCATAATGATGGACATTTTAAAATACTGCTTCAAAAAAAAATACACAAACCTTCAATGGCAGAAAACTTCACCATACATATCACTCAGATATTTATTGTGTGATATCAAGTCACATAGTTTACATTAAACACCAGAGAAAAATAACATAGTAGAGACAATTTTCAAGTCCTGTCTGAGACACACAGAAGTTTTGATTCCCCACACTGCTTTCTGAATCCTCAGTACCTAATATCATCTCTTGGAGAAAAAAATATCATAAACTAATTTATACATGAATTTGTTACCCAGGGGTATTTATTTTAATTGAGGGCCATGGAGCCAGGGCAATTATTAAGCCAAAAGGAATGAATCTCTAATGTTAGAATTTCAAATATTATTATAGCTGGATAAGGGAAATATATTTGAAAATAATCTTCTTACTTCCTTCAAAGTCATACCATATTACTCATAGGGCCTCTCCTGGCTCCCTATTTTGCTACAATAAATCAACATTTACAAAGTCATAGTTTACTAAATAAAATAACTAATATCTATATAGTAACCTAACGACTACTACTAATTTTGGATGATTTACGTGGACACAAATGATACTATAGAAAGACTCCAGAAAGCATTGTTAAGGGTTATGAAGACTTGAGCAATAAAATCAAGACATTAAGGGCACAGGTGGTATTTTCATCACTGTTGCTGGTTGAAGATAAAGGCTTCAGAAGAGAAATGACAATTTCAGAAATGAACAACTGCTTAAGATGATGGTATCTGAAAGTCAGTTTTGGATTCCTGAAACCCAGCTTAAAATACAGGAATGGTAGAAGAATCTTATAAGTGTTGATATATAAATATTTGCCTGTACTCTTGCAAATCTAAACAAAATATATTAAAAAAAAAAAAAGAATAGAGTAGGAGAAAACTAGCTCCATAAATACACCAAAC